GAAAGAGTGCTATAGATATATAGTGCTCTGTATCACCTGTTGGGTTTTGCATTTTACAAATTTCTGTATGATGAGTGAGCTCTACTGGAATTTACTTGTAGAGCATACTTAGGTTATTTATGACGTAAATATCTTTTAGGGTCCATAAACAAGCGAAAACCGTATGTTCAAGCTGAAAACTTAGTAGGCCTCCCTAACAATTTTATTTTTATTTATTTTTTTTTTATGTTTTTATACAATTTTAAAAGGTTACTTTCCATTTACAGTTATTACAAAATATTGGCTCTGTTCCCTGTGTTGTACAACACATCCTTGAGCCTATCTTACACCCAGTAGTTTGTCTCTCTCACTCCTTCACCCCTGTATTGCCCCTCCGCCCTCCACTGGTAACCACTAATTTGTTCTCCACATCTGTGAGCCTGCTGCTTTTTTGTTATATTCACTGGTTTGTTATATCTTTTAGATTCCACGTGTAAGTGATATCATGCAGGATTTGTCTTTCTCTGACTTACTTCACTTACCCTAATGCCCTCCAATTCCATCCGTGTTGCTGCAAATGGCAAAACTTCTTTCTTTTTTTAAGGCTGAGTAGTATTTCATCGTGTGTATATATATCACATCTTCTTTATCCATTCATCTGTTGATGAATACTTAGGTTGTTTCCATATCTTGGTAATTGTAAATAATGCTGCTGTGAACATTAGGGTGTATGTATCTTTTTGAATTAGTGTTTTTGGGGGTTTTTCAGTTATATACCCGGGAGTGGAATTGCTGGGCCATATGGTAGTTTTTTGAGGGATCTCCATACTATTTTCCACAGTGACTGCACCAGTTTACCTTCTTACCAACAGCGTACAAGGGTTCCCTTTTCTGCACAACCTCCCCAGTATTTGTGTTCTTTTTGATGATAGCCATTCTGACAGGTGTGAGGTGACGTCTCATTGTGGTTTTGATTTGCATTTCACTGATGACTAGGGATGTTGAGCATCTTTTCATGTGCCTGTTGGTCATCTGCATTTCCTCTTTGGAAAAGTGTTCATTTCTTCTGCCCATTTTTTAATCGGGTTGTTTGTTTTTCTGATGTTGAGTTGTATGAGCTGTTTATATATGTTGGATGTTAATCACTGATCAGTCATATCATTTGCAAATATTATCTCCCATTTGGCAGGTTGTCTTCCTGTTTCTATCAATGGTTTCCTTTGCTGTGCAAAAGCTTTTAAGTTTAATTAGGTCCCATTTGTTTATTTCTGCTTTTATTTCCCTTATCTTAGGAGATGGATCCAAAAATGTATTGCTGCGATTTATGTCAAAGAGTGTTCTGCCAATTTTTTCCTCAAGGAGTTTTATAGTATCCAGTCTTACATTTACGTCTTTAATCCATTTTGAGTTTATTTTTGTATATGGTGTTAGAGAATGTTCTAATTTTATTCTTTTATGTGTAGCAGTGCAGTTTTCCCAGCAGCACTTATTGAAGAGACTTTCTTTTCCCCATTGTCTATTCTTGCTTCCTTTGTCATAGATTAATGCACCATAGTGTGTGGGTTTATTCCTGGTCTCTCTGTTCTGTTCCATTGATGTATGTGTCTATTTTTGTGCCGGTACCATACCATTTCGATTACTGTAGCTTTGTAGTATAGTCTAAAGTCAAGGGGTCTCATTCCTCCAGCTCTGTTCTTCTTTCTCAAGATTGTTTTGTCTATTTGGGGTCTTTTGTGTTTCCATGCACATTTTTAAATTATTTGTTCTAGTTCTGGAAGCTTTGTGGCTTCATATCCAACCCTTTTGCCCTTTGCCTGTGTGCCTGGAGCCAGTCTCACTGTGCTCACATTTTCTCCTGTAGTGATCACAGCTCCCAGCCCCAGTGACATTCCCTTTCCCTGAGTCTGCACTGGGTCTCTTTTGTGCTTCCTTCCCCTCAGGTAGCCAGTCTTCCCCTGGGCCACTCCTGGAGGTGGGGGGGTTACCTCTTCCCAGTGTTTTTTATTTCTGTGGGGCTTACCTAAAAGTATTAAAAGTAACTTTGTAAAAAAAAAAAATGTTTTTTCTCTTTGAGATAAGTTTTCCCCGCTCCATTAGTGTTTCAGTGATAAGTTATCTGCTGTCCTGTGAGACCAGGCTAGATTACGGAAACTAGGAAGTAGACCTTGGAAAGGGCAGGGCTATGGGTGAGGAGATCAGTACTAGTTGTGTAAATTAACTTTGACTTTAGATGGATATTGTGCATCTAGTCAAATAATAAATAGAGTATTTAATCTAAGTGAAACCTTGCAGAGTCCTAACTTTCGTTTTGCACTTTTGGTACTTTCAAAACTAAAAACAGTAGAAGCATCTTGATTGCTAAAATTTCCTACAAATTCTTTTCTCATTGTGTTGTCCCCAGTTCAAACCAAAAAACTGGAGCAGTTTTACATTTTAGCCCTTAATCCCTTAAGCCTAGAGTGAGAGAGAACACCCAAGACTTTGTTAAGTATTCTTCCCTTAAATTTACATTTAAAATTTTGTTTTTGTTCTCTTTTCTCTCCTGCCTCTTTGTCTGTCTTCAGTCTCATTAAGTCCTGGCGGGGAGATTTACCTCCCCTGAATGTTAAAAAAAGGCCCTCTGACTTGCAGTTGATTCTACAAATATTTGAGAGCCTCCTCTGTGCCAACTCCTGTTGTAGGTGTGGGATTACAGCAGTAATCAAGATAAAGTCCCTGCCCTCATGCAGTTTACAGTTTAGAAGGGGAAGAAGAACGTAAGAAAATAATTATTAAATATCATAGGGGAGACTGATAAGTGTAGTGACAAAGATAAAGCAGTGTAAGAGGATAGAGAATGATGTGCTGCTGTTTTAAATAGAGAGGTCAGGGGCTTCCCTGGTGGCGCAGTGGTTAAGAATCCACCTGCCAGTCCAGGGGACACAGGTTTGACCCCTGGTCCGGGAATATCCCACATGCCGCGGAGCAACTAAGCCCGTGCGCCACGACTACTGAGCCTGCGGTCTAGAGCCCGCGAGCCACAGCTACTGAGCACACATACCTAGAGCCCGAGCTCCGCAACAAGAGAAGCCACCGCAATGAGAAGCTTGTGCACCGCAACGAAAGAGTAGCCCCCCTTCGCTGCAGCTGGAGAAAGCCCGCGCGCAGCAACAAAGACCCAACGGAGCCAAAAATAAATAAATTTATAAATAAATCAATAGAGATGTCAGGGGAGGCCGCTCTAAAGATCACAGTTGGGCAGGAACCTGAATGCATGAATGAAGTGTGTCAGTCGTGTTAGTACGTGGTACTATTCTAATGTAGTCGCTCACCTTGAACAGGTGAAACCCAGTCAGGGAGAACAGCTGGTGAAGAGCCAGCAGATCTCCTGTTGTGAAATCCAGCACAACTGTGGGGTGAGGAGAGGAAAATGGAGGTGGAGATAGCCATTTGGGCTAGGGAATAAAGATACAGGATCTCAATGATAACATATTGGTTTGGGGTTATGCCTTAGCAGGAGTTATTTAACAGTTAATTTAGAAAAATGATGTACCAAAAGAGGATTGTCTTTCTAGGATATTTTGAAAGAAGGAAACCAAAGAGAAAGGAAAGAAATGGATCCATTCAACAAATGCT